TAGAGGATTTATTGATTAGAGGATTAGAGGATTTTATTTAGAGGATTATAGATATAGTCTATATATTTCGAGCTATTACATATATTTTGTTGTATTACTCAATCTTAAATAAATATATTATTTTAATTCTCTTTTTGTACCCTATTTATATGTAATTTACACGTACATATATAGGATGTCCATTTCTTTCTCAGATATGTCTTCTTTCTTTCTCTCCCTTTCTGTTTCAGATATAATTTAAAAAATTATTATACCCTGATTTACCCTAAATGTTTTAATGTAGGTAATTAAAAGATTATAAAAAGGTTTTTTTAAATGTTATTTATTTACGTTCTAAGGTCGTATAAAAAAATTCTCAAAAAACATTTTTAAAACGTAATTATAAACGTGCTGAAAACAATGAAATGTCGTTTTTAGAACGTTTTAAAAACGTGAAAATGTTTGCTGGGATGCTGATTTTTTAACTGGTAATCTTTCAATGATTATCTTTAGATTCGATTCTTCCCATGGAGGAGGCTATCGAAAGTGTGGATATAGTCTATCTTCCCCTTTGTTTTTAATGGTCCATTTCAGGTCCATTTTCTCTACAATCTTGACTACATTATCCACTGTTCTACATTATCCGCTTGTTCTACACTGTAGGTTTTTCTGAAAGGATCTCTGAATGCTGTCTTTGATTGCTGGCGGTACAGGCTAAAATACCTTCAAGTTTTTCACAGATTAAGCAGCAAATCAAGAAGAAAATACATGCAAATATCAAAAGTCGCCACAGAGCAACACTAGTGAACATTCTGCATCTACATTAACACCAAGATAATGTTATTATAAGAATAAAACCAGTGCACTAAACAGAAGAGACAAATATTCAAGGGAAAAGGAGGAAACCCCACCTCGATTTAAAACCTTGACCCAAATATTTTATGAACTATTACTATTATGTTACACAGTAGCAGTATGTCAACACACAATAGAAAAGGAAATAAGTGATATAAATTTGATAAGTTTAGAATGAGGAAAGACCTGGGTAAATGCTGGTTCGGTAACAGGTATGTTACCGAACCAGCAGGGATCTATTAGGCTACTGTGTAACATAATAGTTTCACATCCCTGTTACCGAACCAGCATTTTGTATAATATATATCAACACACAATAGAAAAGGAAATAAGTGATATAAACTTTATAAGTTTATATCTAGGTTTATATCAAGGTATATCTAGGTAATGTTTATATGTAGGTAAATGCTGGTTCGGTAACAGGGATGTGAAACTTTTATGTTACACAGTAGCCTAATAGATCCCTGCTGGTTCGGTAACATACCTGTTACCGAACCAGCATTTACCCACATCTTTCCTCATTCTAAACTTATCAAGTTTATATCACTTATTTCCTTTTCTATTGTGTGTTGATATATATTATACATAAGTAATATCCCCTTTTTATGCCCATTCATCCACTTGTTTACTTCAGTCATGTCTTCCCTAACTCTTTGCTTTTATAAAAAATATATAATAAGGTTTCCAGTGATGACCAAAACACAATGCAGAAGACGACTTTCGGTATGTCCTAGACCATTATCAAGTTGTGTGAAAGCAGAGAGGGAGAAAGAAAAAAGTGAGACCTCTCTGTAGTCTCTGTCCTCCTGCCGTCGATCTAATAAAAAGTGTCCGTGTCGTTTGGCCTTCCACCTCAGTTACAGGCCGGCTCCTGTGCGAGGTAAGTCACCATAGTCCGTGCTACTTGAATATTTTTGTTCCCAGTAGCTGAATCTATAACAACAACATCGTTTGGCCTTCTCTTCCTTATCTCCATCACTCTTCCCTTCTCTTCCTTATCTGATGTCAATCTCAGGACATCGTTTAAATGCAACGACTGCATCCCTCCTGTAAGATGCTTAGTCGTGATGTCGACTCTCTGTTCCTCTTGATAATGATTTTCCATAGTCAGAAAGTTGAGTAAGGAAAGGATGTTCTCTCTATCTGATTTTATTTCACCTAAGAAATTGTTTAGGTGAAATAGATTGGAAAGTTCCTGGGCAAGAAGGGTGGACCGGTCATAGAGTGAGACGTGAACCTAGCGATCGGTGATGTAGGAAGGGATTTCGATGTGGATTCAAAATGTAACTTATTTAAAAATATTCTACACCTAGCACAGAAATTTGCAAAAGAACCATGCAAATTTGAATAGATCGAATAATAAAGATCGGAAGTGGATAACAATTCTTGCTTTGAACCTTATAGGTAGGAAGAGAGCTTGGTACAAAAGGGTTAAGAGTGGGGAAGACGGTTCAAAGCAAGAAGTCGTCCTACTGGTTAGAAATGTTAAAACAAGAAATGCGGTCAAAAATAAACTATGAAGCTCTCATAGCAGGGAGGGCAAAGACAAATCCTAAAGGTTTTTTCAGTTATATCAAACAAAGATTAGGGAAAGGATAGGTCCATTAAAAACGGAGACAGGGCAGATGTTATACTCAAATTCTGTCAGTTGAAATGTAACCAATCACAGGCGAGTAGGCCTCTGACGTTATGCCAGACAGAGGAGCATCAGGCATGCTCCCAGCAGCCTCAGTTATCCTCACAGGCTCAGAGTAGAAGGACCTCGGCTAGGCAGATATATACCTTGCAATCTCAGTCAATAAATATATACAGAAGCGACTACTGTGTCTACCTTCTACCCGAACAAGGCAAACGAATACTGGTAGCAGCAGTGGGATCCAGAAATTTTTTTCTGGAAAGAAAAGTTCAAGTACCCAGCATCGCCTTGTGTTCCACCGCCACCGCCACCGCCATAAGCCGCCATCCTGCCACCTACGCATCAAATATTGTGCCAGACCGGGGTCCTGCCATCAACCACTACTCCAGGCCAACGTTCAGAAGTAAGGGTCAATATTTTCCTGTGAGAACGCTCATTCATCAGTGAGGAGGAAGGAAGCTTCCCGCGCCAGCCATTTTTTTGAACCTCGCGCCACCACGTGGGAACCACCTAGTGCACCCACCACCACCACCGCCACCCAAGCTGACAGTATCTAAGCTTTGTGAGTGTTCAAGCTACTGAAATCGTGGTCAATCATCGTCGCAACTATCAACTGAGCATCGTATGTACTGTATTGTTCTTAATTATTTGGTGGACTGCAATTGTTTGACTAGTGTCGCCTCCCCAGGCTCACACGCCTCGCCTCCCTCTAAGCTCACACCTCGCCACCAGCCCCTGCTACATCATTTTGTGTGAACTCCTGCCTCCCAATCGTGTTTCTCCACCGACATCGTCGTAATATCGTCGTCGTCAGAATTTATCTTCGTGCTTCTAGCGTGAACAGTGTGGGGTCCCTGAGTTTCGCGCCATCGCCGCCAGGAGCGCTGCCATCGCACCAGTTTGTAAACAAGCCCTCACATGGTCCTCTTCACACATCTGGTCACCGTTTTTCGTTTTGGCCACTGTTATATTGCAAATCCTGCAGCCCTGAGTTAAGTAAATATGAGCTAAGATATCGTGTGCTATGATTTAATGAGGTTTAACGTAAATATATCCAAAATATCTTATGAATTAATCATTCAGTGACTTGTTAAATATTGGAGCCGGTTTAGTACTCCAGAGGCCCACAGTTTCTCTGAGACATTTCAATATTCCCTGCATATGATTCCATTATTCATTAATTGTTACTAGTGTCATTACTGAATTCAAAGGTGAGAGAAGTAAGAAATAATTGTTTATAGCAGTTATATACATTCCTGTGTCCAGTTTATGTGCTACATCCATATTTCTTGCATTGCCACTTGTTGTGTTGAATCTTTTTAATGAAATTTTGCAATTGCACTTCCAGTTTTTATATTCTCAATTGCTGTGCTTAGTCTGGTTTAATTAATTTACATACATCTAATTCCAGTCATTTTTTTAATGAAAGATTGCTAAATTTAGTTTACAATTGCTTGTTCTTAATTATTTTCTTGCCTAGCCCAATTTAATAATTTTATTTCTGCCATTTTTATTTTAGCCAAGTTGATATTTTTTTGTGTTTATTTTTGTGTATACTATTTCTGATGCCAGGTGCACTTAATTATAATCTGCGTTCAAATATTACTTCCACGGCTGTGACAATGCCTACCACTGTTGAAACCCCTTCAGAATCAATGGGAACAGTTGCTCGTCCCAATGGCCAGAGATCAGCTCAGGAAATGGCTATTCCTCTTTTTGCTGGGGAATCGCGTTTATTAGAATCATGGTTTAGTAAGGTTGAAGCGAAAACAGTTGCACGTTTTTCTAAGCCTACTGATGCCGAATACTTAGCAATTGCACGGTCAGCCGTGGACACAACCAAAGGTGATGCACGTTTTGTTGTTGATGAGAAAGCCATTGTTAGCCTCCAGTCTTGGCCTGAATTTAAGGATTTCTTTCGCCGTCGCTTTGTTAATAAAGGAGACCTTGACCCATATAGGTTAGTCAAGAAAATTGCCAATGCCACCGAGGTCCTTTCAGTATCATTGTAACTATATAGCTAGCCAGAGCTTGTCGACAAGGGACGTCGACTTGGTAGCGTGTCCGAGCGGTGTTATACTCAAATTCTGTCAGTTGAAATGTAACCAATCACAGGCGAGTAGGCCTCTGACGTCATGCCAGACAGAGGAGCATCAGGCATGCTCCCAGCAGCCTCAGTTATCCTCACAGGCTCAGAGTAGAAGGACCTCGGCTAGGCAGATATATACCTTGCAATCTCAGTCAATAAATATATACAGAAGCGACTACTGTGTCTACCTTCTACCCGAACAAGGCAAACGAATACAGATAACTGATAATGACAAAGAGATGAGTAGAATTTTTAATAAATATTTTATCTCTGTATTTACTAAAGAGTAACTTAAGGGGCCTGGTGACTGGAGATTTTTCCAAATATGAAATATAGTGAAAACAATCTAAATGAATCTCCCGTTATTTGGTATCAACGTAGTGAAAATTTCATCGGAATGTGTTAAGAAATGATTTTTTTAAATTCATGCGTGCACGACAGGCGGCAACCAGTACTGATATTAACGATAACATCTCCTATTTACTGGCAATTAGGAATACAGAAATGCAAGCACATCTCCGATGCACAAAGAAGAAAATCATTAATAAGAAAGGTTTCCAAAGTTGGTATTCAGCTGATGACACCTGGAGGGTCAGATTTCTCCCATAATAATGAGTATGTTATTATGCAGTATTTATTATATATCATATAAATACATTGCTCAATTGCAATATTTGTTGTCTCTTTGTCTGAAAGTTGACAACTACATTTTTTCCTTTATTTTTTATGCGGATGTTGTTGTGACTTCTACATCTTGGAGAATGTATATCCGGCACTAAGCATGAGAAGTTGGAACGAAATGGGTCAACATGTTATTAAGCCACAGGTGGCAGAAGTAGTGACTGTTATTTGTTTTGGCCGATTTATTTACAGGTTTCAAACTCTATGGTTGACCAGTCCAGCAAAGAGAACGCCTGGTCGGGGACTGGGCCGCGAGGACGCAAAGCCCTGAAACCGTCCCAAGGTAACATCAAGGCTGTCATTAACATATCTATATATATTTGTGGGGGAAGGTGGTATTTTTTTTGTGACTGGATTTCAACACATATTGACCCACAACTTTCACATATTCGAGTACGTTTAGCAGTATGTCTAACGAATGCGAAAAGGAGTTTTGCGAGCATTGTCTACCATATTTAA